AGACAGCGTAAGCACAATTATTCCAGATATTACAGGTTCCGACAAGTAAAGAATTTTTATAGTCCTGCCACAAATAAGCTATATATTGATTATTGACCATTTGTGACATGCTATAACGAGCAAAAATTTAAAAAAACTAATAGGTAGGTTTAAAATTAATAAATACAAATGTATTCTGACAGTGAATGAGTTAATTATGCTTTCTATTTGCAAAATTCCTCAACCTTAACACAAAATAAGAAAAAAAGTGAATTTTTAAGAAATTTGCGGGATTTCCCGGGATATTTCCCGGGTTAAAAAAACAACCGGGATCCCGGGATCCCGTTTGAGAAACCCTAGTTGCGGTGCCTCTAGCCAGCAGCAGAATTCATGCCCAACGTACACTTTTCATACTGACTGCAAACACGGGTCGACTTTATTTCAAAACTAAACAATTTCAGTCTTAAAGGTTACTTCGAATACAATAATATCTTCATCTAAAAGATAATGTAAAAGTTCGCAATGATGCTTACTTTGTAGAAACTTTGTAGCGGGCGTAAAATTAGACGAAGTATTGCCGAAACGTGGAAAACTGTCTTACTTCCAAACAAAGAGTGATTCGGACGTTTTCTCGTCCCGCGATCTCTTTTGAGGTTGACATTTAGTTCCCCAAATAAGAGCTAGATGAAAGCGCGTTAACCAAGAATAAACAGACGTTCCCGTCTTACCCCATGGCCCATCTTGCACCACCTTCCCCTATATAGGAATCAGAGTTGCCGATTTTCGGGGATCGCTTTCTCCGCCCCCAACACTTATAGTAATTTCGATTATCTCGTATCACACGGTGTGGTAGTCATATACCACAGGGCCCTCTGTTTTCCATCTATAAGGAGATAGAATTCTGTCCTTACTACATCGGGCTAAGAAGTGAGAATATTGTAGAGTTTTAAAAGAACCCTCCGATTTCCTCACTCCTTAGAAATGAAAAAGACGTCACTGAGTGAAAATAGTACCTCGGCCGAAACAACTGGAAAAGGTTAGAAATCTAAAAAGCCTTCGGTAGCTCACTTCGAGGAGACAGACTATTTTGTCAGGCTAGAATGCGTATAAAAAGTTATAAGTGAAGGTTTTTTCTTCCAATGTTGAGACTAGTAATATCTATCATGTCTTTCTTAATTATGCATAATTAATTTTTTCTTTATTTCGCCTATTTAACAATGCATTTCGGATTGGTAGTTTTCCAATCCCTATTCGGGTTCTCGGCTTCAGTGTCTAAAGTTGTTGTCTACAACGTAACGAACAAAAGGATAGTTCGTCTTAATACACTTTTGTTATTCACAATGATGGATATAGTGCACAATTTGTACACATTTTAATGGTGTAGTTTCTACATATCAGTCTCTTGCACTTACTGGCATGTTTTCTTTGTCAATTTTTGATGGGCAAACGCAACGCTTTTTCCATTTCCCACAATTATTAACTCTTTGTTACCTCTTAGAAGGATTTTAACTTCAATATTGTGTGATTCATAACACGACAAAATGTAGTTTGTCATTGTAAATATTTTCACAAGTTGAAAGTAAAGTTTTCACAAACAAACTACGAGTAATTTTTTATTGCGACACCGTCACAATGCCGGGTTGCAATTTTTAATCATATTTTTTCAATCATTTAATTTAAAACATGTGCTCTCCACCACAAATTAGTAGTGGCTTGCCCCTGTAAATCACACTTTTCCTTCAACAATAGAGTCGTATTAACTGCTTTCGGGGAGGGATTTTGAATTAAAAAAACGTGATTTTCGGTTTGCATCGGAAGTTCACATGTAGTTAATTGGGGCCTCCTGTCCCTAAAATTTCCACATCTGGTCTCGGATTTCATATAACTCCGTTCCCGAGATTAAGACAGTGGGAATTTATGGGTCTACAGTGATAAAATTTGGAAATAAATGTATCATTCCTTTGAAAACAAAATTGTCGCCTTGTAAGTAATGAAGACAAAGTTTCGCTTGCGTGAGATACGAGCGAAAGTTTCAAAGTCGCAGACGAAATCGAACGGAAGTTATCACAGGTCATAGGTTTACACACTGATATTCTTTATTCTAAATTTCTTTTTTCTCCAAAATGTACATTTTGGACAGAGTGGAATCAACTTTACAATATAATCAATGTGCTTTTGAGATTATTTTTATGATAGAACTATCTCAAAAGTATATCGTCGTTTGATTTTATTGTAAACTTCAACATTTACTCCAACTGAAGGGGGACTTTATTATGGAAAAATAGAAATATTGATCTATATATATAAAATTGCTTGTCCTGACTGACTGACTCATTCACTGATTCATCATCGTCCAGAGCAAACCGCTGAATCTAAAGAGGTGAAATTTGGTACACAGTTAGGGTACGTCATGAAAACGCTCCCTAAGAAGGGATTTTTCGAAATTCCCCCGCGGGGGAGAGGGAGAGGATTAACTCTTAACCGGAAGAACGGCTTCTACTATACTATTTTAGATGCGNCCGAACATAATCTTGGTCCTCTATCAAGTTTGAACCTCGGTTCTGAACGTGGTATTAATCCTGTGCCTATAACCGATTATCATCTTGGTACTGTATCTGGTATTAATCCTGGTCTTACACGTAATGCGCACAAATCTCCAATTTTTTAAAAAAATATTTCTACGGAGATTATAACGAAAACAATTTATGTTCTTTCACTTCTATAACATTAAAATAAATTTGATTTTGTTCAGAATTAATAAATTGTAATCTCAATATCAAAATATAAATAAAATATTTTGTATTATTGAACTACTTTGCCTGTTGTTACTTTTATTTCTTCAGCAAGTCGTGGCTTCTTAAATTTTGTATTTGACAGACTGAGACTGACAGACTTACAGAGTGCAACAATAACTGAAGTCGTGATCCATTCTGTATGTCTGAACTTCTGTACATTGATAAATTCCAGAAGTAGAATATTTTAGTGAATAAAGTCTTTTACTTTCCTCGGCCTTTATATATAACAGAGGGAAAGTATGGCTATCGGTCGATTTTGTCCACCCTGTTTGAAGCTTAATAACTCCCGTGCTTTTTGTCGAAAATTTCTGAAATTTAGCAGGGAGGTTTGTTTATTAGAGGGATCGATGTTATTAAATTTTGGTGGTTAAAGGTCGAGGTTATGATGAGATAAAGGGCATCGTATACTCTAGTAGGATCGGACTTAATACCGATTTTACTGATTTACGAATTTTTTTTATAAAACTCATCCCTACTCTAGAATTAAGCTTTTGGCCCTTTTATAACAGTAAGAAATATATAAAGTTTTAAAATAAAATATGATAACAGATGGCGCCACGAAAATTTTAAATGTCTCCAGGAAAGTTGAAAAACTCGTTGATGTTTTTGATGATTTATTTTTCATATTTTTCTTGAAGAATTGTTGAATTCTTCAGAATGACGTGTGTTATAGAATTCATCTATATGTAAGAGTTAAATAATGTTTGCGTTTTTGATAATCAATGATGTATTCGTGTAGTATTCGTTATATCTGGTCCGAAGACTGCCAAGGTCAGGATGGTAAAACTTTATTACTTTCGCGGGAGGTTGCGAAATGAATACGTAAAATTTTGTTGTTCCATAAAAATATTTATTGGTTAAACCGCTAATATTCATGAAAATTTTTACAATTTTCTACAACGTTAGCAAAAGCTTCCAGGTACAACTCCTCTAAAGAAGAGCCACATCGCAGTCTTCGCTTTCCACATATAAATTATGGTGCATTACTTTTTGAGTTACGTTTTCGTTTGCAGTTTTAAGAGTTACAGTATACCCCAATAAAACGGGTTCATATGATACGGATTCGTATAACAAGGCGAAAAAAATTGCGAACGTATTCGTATAAACAGGCTAAAAGAGACTCGTATGATACGGTAAAACGTCATCGCCCACTCGTGTCGCGACAGGATTGGTCAAATCTAGACCAATAGCGGATATTGCACAAACCGTTGAGTTTAAACGAGAAGCGGACCTACCAAAAACCATTTATTACTTAACGGCCATAAAATTTATATTTATATTAATGATGTCTCCAAAGTTCAGCAAATTTTTCTCAGAAAAATAATTTATCAGGAAATACGCGCCCGCCGTTCGATGCGCCTCTCCGCGACGAAAACAAGCTTAAGCAATGGTGTCGTCGAACGGTGCACACTCGGTAAGTAATCCTACAATTTTTTGTTTATAGCATAGTTTATATGGATTATTCGCAGAAAATTATACGTGTTTTGGAAATGTTGAGTCAAATTAGTCTAGAATCGATTAATTTTATAACTTTTCAAGAAAACTTTTCAAACAGCCGTAGTCCGTAAACTGCATGCGTGCCGGGCTGTGATTGGCTCATGCATTTAAGGACTCGCACAACATGAATTTCATAAAACACGGAACGTATCTATCGTGTTATAGGAGGGTCTACTGTACTTCTTTTATTATCCGTTCGTATTTGCATTTTTAAACATTAAAAATGTCTTCACTTTCAATTTCTAGAGTCAATTTTTTCATTTCTCTCCTTTATTTTCACTTTCACATAAAGTTTTTTTTTTTTTTTTTAATTGTACAATTCTGATTTGCATTTCCAGTAATTATTTTAGTTCAAAGTCTTCATTTGCAGTTCCAAAGATTTCCTTTTCACTCCAAGACTTCATTTCACTGTCACGGATTAGTTTTTTTCTTTGAACGTTTTAATATGCAGTTTCAGAGATTATTTCATTGATTGAGTATATTTATTTTCCGTTTCATAGGTCATTTCTTTCATTGTATGTCAACATTTGCTTTTTCGGAGGTTGATTTTTTTTATTTAAAGTTTTAATTCGTAGTTTCAGAAATTAATATTAATTGAACGTGTTCATTTATAGTTTCATACTTTAATTTTCTATTCAAGGGTTTCATTTAAATTATTAAATTTTTTCTTCAATGTTTTAATTGCAGTTCTATAGGAAAGTTTTCCATTCAACATTTTCTATTGTAGTTCGAGTAGATTTTCTAATTGGAGTTTCAATCGTAATTTCAAAGGTTATGTTTTCATCTTGCTTTTTCTCTTCCAGTTTAATAGATAATGTTTTCACTGAAGAGGTTATTTTTCATTGTATGTTTTCACTTGTACTTTCAGACAATAATTTTTTTATTTGCATTTTCAGGAAATTTTTATTGATATTTTCATTTGCAGTTCCGAATAAGTGACAAAAACTTCACAAATATCCCAAGTGTATAAGATATTAAATGATTTGAAAAATAAGCAATCATTGCAATGCGCTGAAATTGAAAGCATATTGAAACAATATTGTCTAGTTTTTGGAAACGAATGAAGCAAAAATTAGATAATCAATCTCAGCAATCAGTTCTTTATAATGATAAATATTTATTTACAGTAGAAATGTAAAAAGTAATAGATATTTTAATAACACAACTTAGATGGAAATGTGAAAAACTATATGACATTTCCTCTGAAAATGTTATACTAGGTCTTGAAAGTATGACAATTAGCGACACTTCCGTATAAACAGTTTGTTATTGTACACTAGACACTTCTACATAAAATGTTTTTAGTTGGTCTGCAATGTACCATATCTCTCACATTATTTCGGTGAGAAATTGATATTCGATGTACAGTACAGTACAGTACACCATTTTGTTCGCGACGCGTTTTAAGAACTTAAGTATGACATATATTGAAGTCGTTCTGTATTTAATAACAACAGATTAATTTGATCCAATAATCTAGTGTTTTATATCCTACTGACTGTCCGGCAAGAAAAAAAAACAACGTCACTGGCTGACTATCTAGGGGAAGGTGGGGCAGGATGAGGACTTTAATGTTTCAAAAGTCTTAAGATGGCAACCACTTTAATGAGAACGATAATTTTTTTCATTCTCGGCAACTACAATATTTGGTAATATATAATACAATATTTAATTTTTGAAAAACGTTTTTAAAAACAAGAAAATTTAATATTTTAAAATTATATGTAAATGCGCCATCTTGCCCCACCCACGGGGTAAGATGGGGATATTATTTTCATTTACGAGGAGGACAAATTAAAATGGTTAAACTGTCGTTTTCTTCAATATTGGCGCAAGAACAATGCGCCCATTTATCACAGCGGCTACATTTATTATTATTTTCCGAATAAATAAATATAAAAGTTTGAACTTACTCGTATTTACTTTACCAGACGATACTGTCACTTCGCGCATGCTCAGTTTCGCTATTTTGTAAACAGACGATATTTTTTTTTGTAGAAAAATTTTTTATTTCATTTCGATTGTTATCTCACATTTTA